TAATGCATTAGTCTTTTCTAGACACTGGAAGATGCTTTATTCCTTCACACACAGATGTACCCTGATGGTGGTAAGCTACATTGTAGCCACAGCTGTTCTAAGTCAGACTAACAGAAGAGGGGCTGCCATGCACCAGCGCCATTGGACCCTCTGACCACCACCAGGAGACAAGGAGAGTGTAGTGTCTTGCCCAAGGACACAACGACTGATTTGGATGAAACAGGGAATTGAACCAGCAACCCACCAGTTACAAGACAACTCCACTAACCACTCTGTCACAGCCGCCCAATAAATTTCACCTTTATGAAAATAAAGTTTTATAAACCCACTGTAATAACAATGTGACTCGTGAACATTCACACTGAATTATATCTAGTCTAAAATGTTGCAACTCATTGAAAACCATAACAACCAAAGTCCTTTTAGAGTTTATTTATTGCTGTGCTCCAGCATCTGTTTTACTTATTTTACTTACTGATTTGATTATTTTACCTTTAGCATCTGGTTTAGCTTTTGTAATAATTTTTATTAATGAACAAAAGATGAGTCACACCACCGTTTTCCTGTTTATAGGTACTTTCACAATAAAAGCACTGGTCTAGCCCTCATTGGTAGAAAACTCCTGGCTTTGTGATGAACTGACAACCAAAGCAGGGTGTCTCGCTCCCTGGCTGCTGCACCAGCAGCCAGCCTCTCCTGACCTTATTTGAAATGGTTGACAAGTTCCTGTGATGTGGCGAGTTTGAACAGTGAGTACTTTTTTTTTGTTCCGCTCTCGAAGGAGTAAGACTCTTCTCCCTTCTCTCCTGCCCTGCCTTATCTTTCCCTGCTTTGCTGCTTGGAGCCTTCTCTACATTTTTCATCCGAAACCAGAAATCATGGATATTTTTATTTTTATGGACTTGGTTAGCTGGATTCTCAATAAAATTTCTGGAAAAAAGTTTATTTTTCTTCTTCCGTGGGAGGACATGTCAAAGGTGGGACCTCTGTTCTTCTCTGTTCTGGATACATTTGGACTCCAATCACTGGATTCAACAGTTTGGCCTGGTGGTCTCCTGGTGTTCTACAAAACAGCGTCGGTGGCTTTGCACTTTCTGGCTGACTGACCAACTGGATGGACGGCTGTATTCTTTCAGCACTCGGACATTGTGCCTTGAGCGAACTGGACTCTGTCTGCAAGCGGTTCTACGGAGGGCCGCGGGCCGGCTGTGGTTCCTGGACTTTGCTGGCCAGATGGAATTCATCTTGGAGAAAGCTGATGAATCGGCTCGGTGGTATCTGTCCACACAATTTTGCCTGATTGGATTCGCCACCTTGAGAGTATCAGCAGACATTAAGGCAGAGGGAAAATTGTTGTTGTCTGCCTGTCCTTTCTGTTCCCAATACAAGTGATTAGAGAATCTGGATCTCCCCGGCAAAGGCCTTGGATCTGTTGGCTAAATCCTTCTTGGTTGGAAGATGTTTACATGGCTCTCGCCCCTCCCTCCTTCCTCCCCACTCCTCCCTCACCTGCATGATCTGATTCCTGAGGAAGCTGAGGCCCCACAGAATGAACAACTGACAATCAATATTCTGAACTTTGGCTGCGCTGGCCTTGGGGACTGGATTCTTCAGGCCCCCTTATCTCAATTACTCCTCTGGCTAATAATCTTGCTCTTTGCTGAGGTTTTTTTTTTTCATAAACACCATAGTGTGTCACAGTGTTGATATAATATGATGTTTTTGCTTTTTTCCTCATTTTCCCTTATGGTTTTTAGTTTTTCTGTTTGCCTAAAGGTAGCGCATCTGTGTCTGCTGCATGACCTGTCTTAACCGCACCCCCCCTTCCCTGAATGTACAGCACCTTGTGAATTTATTTCTGTGAAAGGCGCTATATAAAAACAAACTAACTAACAAACCAACAAACTAACAAACTAACTAACAAACTAACAAACTAACAAACTAACTAACAAACCAACAAACCAACAAACTAACTAACAAACTAACAAACTAACTAACAAACTAACAAACAAACCAACAAACCAACAAACTAACTAACAAACTAACAAACTAAAAAAAACCAACAAATTAACTAACAGACTAACTAACTAACAAACAAACTAACAAACTAACAAACAAACAAACAAACTAACTAACAAACAAACTAACAAACAAACTAACAAACAAACTAACTAAAAAACTAACAAACTAACTAACAAACTAACAAACTAACAAACTAACTAACAAACTAACAAACCAACAAACTAACAAACTAACAAACTAACAAACTAACTAACAAACTACAAACTAACAAACTAACTAACAAACCAACAAACTAACAAACTAACAAACTAACAAACTAACTAACAAACCAACAAACTAACAAACTAACTAACAAACTACAAACTAACTAAAAAACTAACAAACTAACTAACAAACCAACAAACTAACTGACAAACTAACTAACAAACTAACTAAAAAAACCAACAAACTAACTAACAAACTAACAAACTAACAAACAAACAAACAAACAAACTAACTAACTAACAAACTAACAAACTAACTAAAAAAACCAACAAACTAACTAACAAACTAACAAACAAACAAACAAACTAACTAACTAACTAACAAACTAACAAACTAACTAAAAAAACCAACAAACTAACTAACAAACTAACAAACAAACTAACTAACAAACTAACAAACTAACTAAAAAAACCAACAAACTAACTAACAAACTAACAAACAAACTAACTAACAAACAAACAAACAAACAAACTAAAAAACTAACAAACTAACTAAAAAAACCAACAAACTAACTAACAAACTAACAAACAAACAAACTAACAAACAAACAAACAAACAAACTAAAAAACTAACAAACTAACTAAAAAAACCAACAAACTAACTAACAAACTAACAAACAAACAAACTAACAAACAAACAAACAAACAAACTAAAAAACTAACAAACTAACTAAAAAACT